AAGTTTATTTGAAAAGAGCAATCCCTAGAGTTTCTTGCTCGTTCTTCTCAGGGAGGTCAGCGTAGTGAACGAGCAGTAGCTTAAATGTGACGTTTTCAAGTGTAAATTTATTTTACCTATGGAATAAATAATCTTTGACTTTGACTTTGACTTTGACTTTAAAACTATGATGTTTTATTGACAGCTTTGTGACTATTCATTCACTCAGTTCGTACTATGAAGCGACTTTGACATTAAAGTAATATTGCTCTTATGTCAAATTTAGCAATCTTAAAATAGTTACTCGGATGCAGTGGAAACAATAATATTTTCAGTTTTATTGTCTTAATATTGATTTGTAATGGTTAAAAGTTAAGTTGAAGTTATTTATTTACATATTTCTCTTCAATATTTTGTTTATTTTTTATTTAACAGCACATAGGAAATAATTTATCGTCAAATAAAAATACGTGGAGTTTATTTCGTAAAAATATGACAGCGCTATCTATATGCTCCTTGGCGAAACTAACAGTTGACACTAGACTATGGTTCCAAATTCACAACAGGAAAAAAGAGATATCTATGATCAAGACTCAGCTTGTTTTATTTATTTTTCTTCATGAAAATGCAGAATAATAATTGAAAACAACGTAATTTTAATAGATTTCATTAATACATAAGTACTTTTCTTTTTTTGGTAGTTAAAATTCTCTCAATGTAAATAATATTAAGTACTTTAACATTATACTATGATAACACGATTCGGAACATCAAAAAGAAGTAGATGGCATTATACAGTTCATATAGCGTTATTTCTTTCCTACTTTTAGTAAGGAATGGACAATAATGGGAAATCATTCTTTTTTTTAGTCACTTCAGCATTAATACGTTACTTGGTTGACAGGTTTGTCATGATACGAAAAAGAGTAATATTACAATAAGCTTACTTTATGCTTACATTGCATTGACTTACAATTATATGGACGTCGGGTCCGCGCTAAAAAGTGTCCGCACTTTTAAGGCGCTAAAATCGTACACAGAGCGCGACCCTCCGCTTTAGTCTTCATTTGTTCTACTGACAGCGCGATACTGCGATGACATTACAATTTAAATTTCGAATAGGTTGACTTGGGACATTTTTTTCGTGGTTTTTGTATTAGACCCGTCGTCCATGTATTTGTAAGTCAATGTTACATTGAAATAAGATTGTTTTTGGAAAGGTTATGGTAGGCCCCCAGTTCAGGAGTTATGATGCCACAAACAAACAGACACATATATACACGTTATTTTTAAAATATTAACGACCTCGCAGGACTATATAACGTCACAAACAACAACTTTTGTTCAATGACTTTTTAAAAAACATAATAAATTTAATTAAATTTTTTTTGAATTGATAATCAATTCTTTTTAGTGAAATTACTCCACTAGTTTGTTATAATTATTAATACAAAGATCGAACACTCAGAAAAAATTCCTTCTATCCGGCCGGATTCCAACCGACGTCTTCTTGCATACCGTGCCAGACGCTATACCAACTAAGCCACGGAACGAACCAACGGACCTCACGAATTTTTCTATGTGCTTGAGTCGTGTCTTTGTATTTGGTTTTTCAACGACTTTTTAGTCGTAGCGCCATCTATGAGAAATCTATGAAAGGATTATCACCCAGTTAGTACCTTTACATTTTTACATTTACATAATAAATTTACCAAAAAAACAACTTCTAAGGTTTTGTTGTACTATCTGATTCGATTTTTAGATCTGTATTTGGTAGAATAAGTTCAAATGTGCAAGCGTCCTCCGCGACGACTCCCACCCCCGTACTGCACAATTATTAAGTTTAGAGCAGGGGTCGGCAACCTGCGGCTCTTTCGATGTGAAGTTGCAGCTCTTTAGTTCCAAACGCAAATATTAAAATCAAAGTAATGTCAGAAGCCAACCAACAAATAAAAATCTAGAGTAGTGTTTGAAATTTAAAAAAGCTAATTATGAGCGAAATTTATCTAAACTTTCAAAAGGAAATCAAAACAAATGCTCCCATTGATGTACTCCTCAATTCTGTAGTTATATTATTTGATTATTTTAATTTTCTAGTTAAATACTTTAATTTGTTGTGAAAAAAATTCTATGTATAAATAAATACATATTATTTCTTATACTCTTAGGCTCTTTTAAAACTGAAATTTTGTAAATTGTAATTTTTGGTCCTTCCAACTCCAAAGGTTGCCGACCCCTGACATAGAGTGATTTATTTAAATGAAAGTAAATTTTGATGATTTTTTAAAAGTTATGGAATAAAAGTAATTGTTTATGATTTTAGTTACATAGTCCTGGGAGGTTGTTAGTATTTTAAAAATAACCCTGTAAACTTTCCTTTTTTGTTAAGGCAGCTACAACATTATTGGCATAATAGGCAACTATAAAGTCGGATTGCTACGTAGAGGTCCCGAGTTCGATTCCCGTGCCGGGAGAAATATTTGTATAATAACGCACACACACTCAACATAGCCCCGCATTACACCCAAACTCACGAGAGAAATAAATGTAGGTCATACAAATATTTCGTCCGGCCCGGGAATCGAACCTGGGACCTCTGCGTGGCAGTCCGGCATGGTAATCGTTCGGCCACGGAGGCAGTTGTATGGCTTACATTTATTTCAATTGTGAGTTTGGGTGTAATTTGTGATTGTCTATGTGGGTGTCCATGGCACCCGCGATACAGGGTTTCCCTAGTGTTCCGAACGAACTCTTAAATACTATTAGAAGCATAATCACGAAAATTAAATGTTTTCTGGTGCAATGTATAAAACTAAAGAAGTAAGGATTTCAAGGAATAATTTTGTCATAAGATGCATAATCAAATACACTACCGTAGTAAAGTAACCGCTGAACACGTAATAAACAAATTACGAGTATAACAAAACACAACATGATAATTATATTACTTCTTAGAAGTTATAACATACACGGTACTTCAAAATAATGTATTAATACTTTAAGTACTGCGCCCATTGACTTACAATTATATGGACGTCGGGTCCGCGCTAAAAAGTGTCCGAACTTATAGGGCGTTAAAATTGTATACAGAGTGTCATTCACGCTTTAGTCTTCGTTTGTTCGACTGACAGCGAAGCAAGCAAAATTAGACATTACAATTTAAATTCAACATTTTAGCTTTTTCATATTGCTTTACATGTCACTACGTTTAAAGAGGTTGACTTGGGACATTTTTTTCGTGGTTTTTGTATTAGACCCGTCGTCCATTTATTTGTAAGTCAATGACTGCGCCGCTTTAATATGGCTGATCAACAACTCACCTATCCAAGAGTTCACAAAGCGAACTCATCTGTATTCATGAACAATATGATTCCAATAAGGATGACTTATATCACAAATTTAACACACGCCGTATAGCGTAGCATTTTAATTGACAACAACATTATTTATTATGAATTGATACTACCTTAGCTCGAATTTAAATTTTTCCCGTGTTAATACGGTCCATTTTGCTTGGCCTTATTTCAGATTTTTTTTTAAATTTATTTAACACATTTTACAATGGTTTTACAAATTTATTACATACGTGCAGCTGTAACTCAAAAAACCACTAAGGGTTTATCCATCCACACCGACTACTTTTTTACAAACGGAATGAAGATAGAAAAATGTATATCGTATACTATACGTATTATATTTAGTTCAGTTGAAATAAAAAAAAATTGGTATGTATGCAAAGTATATATATTGAAAACAGTGGTTTTCTTGTGAAATGTCGAGGTAAATTTATGTCTTTTATATCGTGAAAATTATTGGAAATCGTGTTTCCACGCCTTATACTAATTAGTAAATATTCTCAATTTTATTACTATATTTTTTCCAAAGTTCATCAACCTAAGCCATTTGAGGCCAATAGACTCTACATCATTGAAATTGATTGCATACATCACCCCATAAATAATTCAGTATTTTTACGACTGACTTCTGTTTTATTTTTCAGACTTATTCCTTTCGGTGCAATATAATTTATACAGAGCATCTGTATTGAGTATATTTTAAACTGTAGGTTATCAAAAACATACGGTCGTTTGCCTGGATTTATAATTCAGCCATGTCCCATTGCAAGGAAACGTTTCAAACTAAATGTTGAACTCTTGAAAGGAGTTTAAGATTTATAAGGCTTCTGAAGTAGATTTGCTTTAAGTTCTTTCCAGCATCTATTTGTAACAAAGTTGGACATTTGCTCATCTTCGACTTGGTAACACGAAGAAAATGCCTTAAAAGATGCCTTTTCGTCAAACGGCTTGGACTTCGTACAATTTGCATGACTTTAATAATACGGTTAGTTTCTTAAATAAGCAATTTATGTTAGTAACGGCCGTTGGGGACTATTATTGTAATTTGATATGAATTTCACATTCTTATTTTAATGTGTAACTACAACAGCGATGCCATACGCGCGTTGCGTCGTCGCAACGTTATGATTTCAACACACCGAGTGCTACACGAGCAACGCAATGTTGTAAATACGCACCGCAGCACCCCTCCCCGCTTCGGCTCCTGGCCCCTTGTCCGATATGCACGCACTCCGTTGCCGCGCGTGTGTAAAATATAACGCAGTGTCACCGCTCAAATACCGCAACGCATCGTGTGGCATCGCTCTTAGAGTGCTTACACACGGCGATTTTTAGCAGCGATGCAAACGCGCGTTCATGAAACGCGAGATTACAACGCTACACTTGCGATTTATAGGAACTGCATCGATACAGTCGCTTATGTTGAATAATTATTACACCTGTACAGGTTTATGCACATTATTTTGTTTTGTTTATTGTAAATTTTAAGTGAAATTAATAAATACATTAAATAAATAAATTAGCTAATTAATTTAAAACGTGCATCGCCTTTGCATCGCGTTTGTATCGCGTTTGCATCGCGTTTGCATCGCGTTTGCATCGCGTTTGCATCGCTGCTAAAAGTTGCCGTGTGCACCCGCTCTTAAGGTTTATATTTGATTTTACCTTTCCTCGATGAGTCCAGTTTATAGTGTTTGGCGGTTCTGGTGTATGTCTCACAATGCACGTCAAATTTATTGTTGATCCCGCGTATATGAAGAGATCTGGACCACCCATGATTTCTGTTTCTGGTTCTGCGAAGGAAATGTTATCATAATAATTGTACAACTTCCATAAATGTTCCACAGAATATAACTTTTGCATCCAATATCATTTATTGTTGAAAGTTGGACATGTCTGCTGGACTGAAAATCCAAGTAATTTTTCAATGCAAGTCTCAAGGAAGATGGGTTTCCTGTCCTGGATGTTAGTTCTGCCACTTAAATATACTTCAAGGAACCTCTTCAATCCTTCACCCGCAGATTTACTGACGGATTGCGGCATTCACAAAAGGACTTTGTATTTGAAAAAGAAATGCAAATATTCGTCGTGAGGTTATCTCTTTGATATCCCTAAATAAATATGTTTTGCAGCAGAAAATCACTACAGCCGGGCAAACAATCTTAGATAGGCTATGTGATATAAGCAAACTCTGATTAAACCGAATACCTATAAAATTGTTTAAGATTTTCTAGCTGAAATACTGAGTCAAAAAAATAATTTACGTCAAATTAAGCCTTCGTTTAAATATTTAAAAGGCAGGTGTTTTATGACAAAGTTTTGATTATATTTAGTTGAGTTCCAGCAATTTATACTTCGTTTTGCTTTTGATATCGTTTCTAGACTAACTAGGTGTCGTGTTATGTCTGCAAAGCATTACGTTGTTACTTTACGAAAACCGTTTTCTCTTATTTAACCTGCGGTGGTTTGAACTTTGTAACTTCACTGGACTTAACTAAAAGCGAGCACGAAAGTCGATGTTGAGGAGGACATTTACAACACTCAAAGACGGTAAGTAGTTTGAGCATAAACTTGGACTGGTGCTGCAGAATACCTAATATTGTCAAGCCATCTAGTATTAGTTTAAGTTTTGTAAATAATAATAAGCCTCATTTGCCAATCTGTATATAAATTTGATGTTTACTATCAGATTATTCTTGCTAAGAATTATGAATTTCTATGACAACATTTTTAGAAAATAAAGCTTGACTTAAAATTTCTATAGAACCCTGTCTCCTCCCTTAAAGTGAAATTCCTTCACATATTTATTTCAACTTACCTACGATATTGAGATACACAGGATGTCCAATAGGTGGTGTTGTAGAGATCTGGCACTCGTATTGTCCGGAGTCGCGGCGCTGCGGGCTGCGTATGCGCAACGCCCACTCCTCGGAGCGCGGCTTGTGCTGCGCCTCGAATCGCTGATCTGAGGTGTACGTGTACCGCCCTACCGTCAGCAAATGAATATCGCGATGACGCACCCATGACACCTGAGAACAACGATATACCAGGTAATAAAGGTTTTTATTAACGCTCTCTTCTTTGTATTCTATAAAAACCCTAGAAAACCTTGATAACTCAATGGTCGTAGGGCCTTCAATATAAGTCTTACCGTGAGGTAAGACTTATTTGGGAAACAAACGTTGACAAATCCGTTCTGATCTAGGTGTTTAGGTAGACACTCCGCGTTAATTTCATTGCTCCGGTACTCAGGGCAATTCCTAGTTTAAGATCAGGTAGTGTGGTTCTTCGGCACACTATCTTGATTTCAGATAACTCATAAGCGACAAATATCATGATCATCATGATCGGGTAGTCAGTTAACTATTCATTAACGTTACCTATTAATGTTAATAACATTTGCGAGGAAACGGATGCTCATATTTAACTATAATACTCCGACTTGGCTAACTTCAGGTTGAAATACCTTAAAGTGCCAGATCGCTTCCGGAAATTTTCAGCAGCCCCACGAAAATGCTGAGATTCTTAGTGGAGTTAGAGTGGCACGAGTAGAAGTTGGGGATACCGGCTTGTAACACCATACCATGCCACTAAACCATAACTCATTGTACTCAACATGTCGCTACTCCTATTGACGTAGACGGAGACTATCGGTCACCACTTAGCACGATCCTGACAAACCTCTGTTGCTTCACTTACATCAATCATCAATCTTTTCATACAAGTCCTCTTATTTTGATTTACGCCAAAACTGCTTTTCTATACGTCGCACTGTGAATACAATAGTGTATTTTTGCAGAACCAATGGAAAACTAATTACTTCCCGTCGAAAATTATTAAAACTTATGTATATGTTAAAGTTTATTACAGATATCGAAACAATTTTTTATTTGCCAATAAAATATAAAAATGAAAGGGAAAATATTATTTCGTATTTTTAGTTACGACTAATTTGTTCAGAACTAGCTCATAAAACTAATTTTGAGTCAAGTAGATAAATTTTCATTGTTTCGTACAACGTTCTAATGCCAGTTTTGTTGAAATATTATTATAGAATTTCACACATTTTGAGTTACAAAACTATTGTAATAGAAGTGCGATATATTAATAAGAGCGCGCACACTCATAGCCCTCATAAATGTAGGACATACATATATTTCTCCCGGCCGGGAATGGAACCCATGACTTCTAGCAGACCAGCAATCTTTGTTTTTCTCACTACATCCCCTTTCCAAAACTACATCATTAACGGTTTGAGTGTTATTCCTCTTTAAATCAAATTTATACCTTAGACAACCTTTATTCTGTCAATCACGAATGTCTTGATCTACTGTAAAAAGAAAGCCACCCAGAGATAACAATAGCTGAAAAGCAAAATCTACAGAGTTAAGACATCGTCTGACCTACTTTTGCAATTTAATGTTACATTTATCGGGAAGCAAGGAAACCTCAGAAAGACGTTCAAGAGCAAACCGCCCTGTATACGGCTTTGTTCGGGTATAACGATACAATTTCTCAAAACGTGACGTAAATAACAAATACGCCTCTCTTCTGTATCGCGTACCGTAAACCACAGTACATCAAACAATCGTATCGTATTACATTTTGCAAGAAAGGTGTTGTCACAACACCTGTTTCTAAATTAAACTTTATTACGCACAACGACATGGAAATTTATTTTGGCAATCCAACTGCGAAAGATTCAGAGATGTGTTTTATCTATGATCTTTTGTTTTCAGCTTTACATCCTCTAAGGAATAACACCGTTTTCACAATAAAACTTTCATCTTTTATTAACTCTTGGGTATCTCCATCAATTCGAGTTGGAGACAGTCCAATTTGTCATTCTATGAAATTAATTGTCTACCTACCGCAGTGGTAATTTATTTTCCGTTCAGAATTTCCCTTCGTTTGTTTGTTATTTAAATAAGGTAAAGTCGGAGAATGAAAAATCAAAAGCTCTGTTAGCATATAATTGAGATGTTATCGGAGTACCACAAGGAACCAATTTTTCACTTTGTAAATGACAGAAGCTGGAAAAACAAATACAAATTGAAATTCCAGAGATTTTTCTTGACAACTCAAGAGTTTAATTTGTAATCCAATAAGAACAGACTGACTGCTTAGTGCACGATTTATTATCCAATAAGTTCCCTAAACTAAGTGAATTCCTATCCAATTTCTGAGACTTTTTCGCAACAATTTTATCAAATTCAGTGACTAATTTTCATGAAATATTATATTCTGTGATATGTAGGGGTAAAAGTTTTAACTAGGCCCTTGAGATTGCAGCAGACCCTTTAGAAAATGTTCCATATTAAGATATTTCACACACGCTTGTAGATTCCCCACATAACGATTATCTAATTGGTGGGTTTGAGCAGGGTAAACGATCTAAGCTACTTTATTCGTCTTGATTTTGGTGAATCATTGTAGTGTAAAGATTATGTAAGACACCTTGAAGAACGAGTTCATGTAGGATCTGCATAACTTACAAACAGTTGGTTGACGACGAAGATTGCCAAAAAACCGAGGCACAATTTTGTTTTGAATGTCAAGACTTCACTAGCTGGTAACGACTTAAATGTTTACGAAATATTATCAATATTGATACTGTAGAAGTTATCTATTTCAATGTTAGGGCGCCTATTGCGTCTTTTTTATTTGTATGTTGTTTATACTGTGCTTGTAATATTGATGCAATAAGTTATTAATTATAATTATATCGTTACTTACCGTTCTGTTTTGTAAATTCTTCACTTTGCACAGCAACGTTACCGAGTGTCCAACTAAACCGGTCACGTTGTCAGGTGTGCTTGGATCAAAATAAGGGGCTCCAGGGGTCTGTGGCCAGTCTTCTAGGAACTCTGCACGAAACCTTTTGGAAGATTCTGAGACTGTGCTTTGGTCACGTGGTCTGTTGTTGCCACTGTCTTGACGACACACTGCAAAATGTACAATTTATTAGCAACTGTTACCAAGAAAATTTATGAAGAAGAGAGTCAAAGAACGGACTTTGATTTACAAAAAGTGTAATAAATAATGAGATAACCTAGGTCACAGGAGCCTGTCGCCATGTAACGAGGGGAGCCGACCCCCAATAATGTAACTTGACAAAAAAGAGGAAGATTAGAAACTAGAAATCTAAAATAAAAACCATCCAATGTCGTATGTATCGTTAGTTATCGTTTGGTACAGCTATCAATTTTAATTTAAATTCCGAAAACCAAAATCTATAAATATTACGTTTATAGTATGATGAAATACTCGTGTACTATTTATATCAATCAGAATAAATTCCGATTTTTTAATGTGGGACAAAGGGGAAACTGTCTTTTTGCATATTTTTTGTCAAATGTCATAAAGTATGAAACAAACGAAATAAAAAAAAGAATACGCAATAAGGTCTCTTCAATCCAACTTGAAATACATACTTGCTCTATAATATTCAGTTCTGACTGTACACTGCATTTTTTAAATCCTGTAAATGTTTGTAAAATTCTTTCAAATAGAATAGATACGAGGCAACAAGTTGTAAAACTGTGCCAAATTTCAAGTCAATAATAACAGTATGTTTTTGAAAAACACCCACGACACACAGTAGGATAGTCATACTTCTACATAAGTTTTGTTTTAAGTGCCCCTCCCTATCAACCTCTTGGTTACTCGGGAAGGGCACTATGACCTGTGTGAGCGAATCCGCACAGGGACCATCTAAGTGAGGTCCTAACCCCGGATCAGCACGTTCACACGGACTTCACCCGGTTCTCTGTATGGCTAGTGCTTAGATGAACCGCCCCGGGTGTACAGCATCCTCCTTATTTTCCAGATAGGTACCGGAGCTGTAGGCACGCTCACTTCCCATCGCGCTCCGCACGACTAACGGTTGCCACCGCTGAGACGTCGAGTGTAAGATTAGACTACCAAATCTCCTCAATGGTGGCGGAGCTGTAAGGCATGCTCACTTCTCGACGCCGAATGAACGGCGTCTCTTCAGTTCCCAAATTCTCGTCCTCTACTAGCTCTCGGACGCTCCGGCCACACACCACCGCGGCAAATGAACGTGTTCATACCCAAGTCCGAATCCGCCAGAGACGCCCGCGAAGGCATACACTGGCAGAGGGTTTGACCCGAACGCCCGCCATACCCTGGGCTTGCCGTTGAGCCCATAGTCTCTCCGGAAAACCCTATCCCTCCAGTCGGTCGATAGGGACAATGCAGTTGGACACTGTAGCGTTAGTAGTATAGTAGCAGTAGAGCTCCTTGTGAAAGAGTTCGTCCAGGGAAGTACTGCTACCTTACTTGTTTCTGCCATCAAGCAGTAATGTGAGTATTCCTCATGGTTTTGAAGGGTAATGCTGAATAAATTACAAGCACGTGGAGCTTGCAACTTATTTCTCATGTGACGGGCGTAATGGCAGTGCCTCTCAGATCTTTGCGATTTAAAGCTGTTAACGGCCCTGCAACTGTTAAGGACAGGCGTGTCGCTTACTACCAGGTTTCATCCCGTCATTGGTATCATAATCTCAGAACAGAGTACTAAAAAACCGACATCAAAAGTCATTCATCCCCTAGTTTGCTACCCTTAGAGGTGAAATATTAAATGGGACCACTACTGAGGTATCTAAAGCAGGTATCTTTCCAACAAAAGAGGAAATGTCAATATCGGTTCGCAAAAGTCGGAGTTATCGCGTAACATACAAAAAAAACATACAGTCGAATTGGGAACCTCCTCCTGTTTTTGAAGTCAGTTAAAAAAACTTCAGTCGCACTACAAGGATTTCTTTTTTTTGGAATTTATTCTAGGTCGTTTTTCTATTACTTTTTTTTAGTAAATAGTCAGAGTCAAAGATCATTTATTCCATAGGTAAAATAAATTTACACTTGCAAACGTCGCATTCAAGCTACTGCTCGTTCACTACGCTGACCTCCCTGAGAAGAACGAGCGAGAAACTCCAGGGATTGCTATTTTCAAATAAACTTAAATGGAACTTTGAATCAAATTTGTGTGGATTCTGGAGCCGTGTTGTCTTTCCATAAATGTTACCTAATACGTAGTTTTCAATTTTGTAATATGACTTTTCGATCAAAATATTTTTAATGTAGTTTTTAAACTTAGGAAATGATAAACTTAATATATGCTCCGGAATCTTATTGTAAAAACGTATACAGTTCCCCATAAAAGAGTTAAACGAAATTGTGGTTCCATGAGTTTGGACTTAGTTCTAAGGTTAATATTATGTATATCTTCTTTCTTATTGAAATTATGTATATTTTTACGGGCATATAAAATATTTGAATAAATATACTGTGATGCCACAGTCATGATACCAGTCTCCTTAAACTTTTCTCAGAGAGAAACCCGAGAGCCTAGACGGTACACAGAACGAATCGCTCGTTTTTGCAATAGTAATAAATAAATCAACATAGCTGGGTAAAAAAGCGCTTTCCCACAAGTCGTGCAGTTTAAAGTGTCGTAGCTTGTATATTTAAATGAAGTTGTTCACGTACTACAACACGATTAACTGTCGATCACGACTTTTTTGACGTTACGACGACAGACTGTCGTGTCAATGGCAAGTCAAAGTCAAAGTAAAATAATCATTTATTTTATTATAAATTTTTACACTTTTTATGCTACATTTTAAGCTATTGCTCGTTCACTACGCTAACCTCCCAGAGAAGAACGAGCGAGAAACTCTACGGATTGCTCTTTTCAAATAAACTTAAATGCTATGGAATACACTTTGAATCATAATTGTGCGGAATTTAGACTCTATATTCTCTGGAATGTTATTGTAAAATGCTAAAATGATTGTCGTTCGACGATAAGTAAAACGTCACGATAAATATGTGACGACAGATAATCGTAGCTTCGTATGATTATGGAAATGTCGTCACGATTTAGTGGGAACGGCTAGATACGACAGTCGTTCAACGATAAAAAAGTCAAAGTCGGTGTTTCGTTGCCGCTCTTGCCTGTCCTCCGCGGTCGAATTTGGGCGATTGGCCTGTGCGGTGGGCGCTCCACGGGACTCTCCTCGGAGATTCACACACAGATGCGTATAGGGTATTGCGGCGAAGCCTACCAATAGATCCGCCGCGGGGGCTGGGAGAGCATCCTCTGAAATTCATAGTTGAGGGGATGTTGCCCTGGCCCCCATGGCCCCTGGGTAGCGGACACGGGGGAGTTCGTTGCCCAGCATGAAGGGGCCCTAGATGGAAGGCTCGTCTGGTGTTCGACGAACCTTATATTTAGAGTCGGTGGACCGTTGTGTCTCTTTTCTCGAGGACGAGCGATAGCGTACCCGTGCAGCGGAGAGGAGGAACACCCTGGGGGTTTGGTGCAGTCGGGCTGCTCACCTTCAGGGTTCAGCCCAGTCCCACATAACCCCAGCTCTGCCCCCTTAGGGCCGGGGTAACTGTAAGCAGATTCCCTCGGATAATAAAAAAAAAAGTCGTCTAACGATAAATAAAACGTAACGTCATAATGGGAACGCGTCCTCAGCCGACGGGTGGGACGCCGTCGCCCTGTCATTGAGTTTAAAGAATTATTATTACCTGCATTTAATAATTATTTTATTGAATGCAATATGGGCTTGGTTGGGTAGCATTATGCTGGTATAATCTCTCGGAAGACCAAGCTCGTATAATTACCATATACACGATATTCACCGGATCGAAGAAATTTTTAAGCTTGCTTTTTTATGCTTTAAATCTTTGTGCTTGTTCGATCTTTGCATCAATAATAACAACAAACTAGTGATGCATTTTCACAAAGAAGTATACGAATATTATTATAGATAATAAATCATGATATTTAATAAAAAGAAATATAAGCATTCCACATTTCTCATAATTCAAAAAGATTTCGAGTTATTCATTGTTTATTAATATACGTAGAAAATACAACAAAGCAATAATCACAAGCAAAGTTGAGAACAAAATTAACTTGGGCCGAATTCAGTTCATTACGTAAGCGTAATCGTAAATCACTGGTAATTGTGAATATTCAGCGAGTACTAGGTACTTCCTATAAACAAACGATAACTTCATTAATTTAGGGGCGTGCGGGTTGCTCCCATCTGCCACGTTTTCTCTTAAGACGTCTAATTAGTTTTGCTGGGTACCCTTATTTTCTGGCAAAATACTAGATTGCGTGATATTATTGTGTAAATGTTGGAATAACAGAGTTTAATTTGCGACGACAGAAAGGTTTTGTTACTTTATTGTAAAGGAAATAGTAGCAGCGACGAAGCAATTAGTGTTAGTAATGAAGCTAGAGCACGAGATTCTTTTGAATACTGAGCAGGTATGTATACTATACAAGGAGACTTCAAACAATCCAGACGTCATTACGCGTTAGTAATTTGACGCTTCCTTGAGTGTTGAATGTTGTTTCTGGAATGTAAGTGATGTAAATGAGCCTAAATAAGTAACTAGGCATGCACTAGTTTCGCCGTAACTTTGAAGAAGCAAAAAACAATTTTATGCATGAAACGAGTACGTTCATTTGTAATAACCATTTGGGGGACCAAATGACAAAATTGGATTAAATACAGTTTGTTTTTGTTTGCATGCTGCGTTATTTACAATGGTTTCGTAATTATTTTCGTAATTAATTTGTATCTGTGTAACTGGTTTCAGAATACGCAGCTCACAATTTTGTGTGTGGTTGGTTTTGGATAGCACAAAGAATTATATCTCGTACAATTACTGACTCTGTTAAGGGATAATTAACTAATGTTTAAAAAATAAAACAAATTGACGAGTGATGGAATATTTCGACTCATCCGAAGAACAGATTCCTACGTGATTATACAGCGAAAAGAGGATAAATACATAATACATTATTCAAACCAAGGCCACTAGGTACACACATACATAAGTTAAGAAATATAAAGTCGAACAACGATCGATCTGATATCCACAGCGAAGAACAACGAGCAAAATATAGTGTCCTGAGAATAAGCAGTCCTGCACATAGGACTTTGTTCTATAGATGAGTCGATTTACCCTTCTTATATCTAACTGAAAAGAATACTTCTATTGAGTAGTAACTTTTAGAGGCCAGTAATAAGTTTAATTTTATTATATTTGAGTGTAGCCTGGGAGTAAGGCACTCTGAAAAACTTTCAGACATTATGCATCTAAAAACTTCGAATTTGCTTTAAAACATTTAGTTTCGTCGGCATTTGTCATGGCTGCAGTTACAAGGGCCTTGACCAGCATAGAAATATCTGTATCTAGGTCATTGTGAGACAGACTACTTAACATTTCGTGCTCATAGTCAATCGTTAACCGTCCACGCAAATAACAAGTTTTCGTAACGCCGATGCCTCATTGTTTTAGTTATTAAGATTTTAGTAGCTGTATAGCTCCATGTGAAAGAGTTTGTCCCGGGAAGTATTGCCACCTTACCTATTTCTGCTGCCTAGCAGAAATGGTAACGTTACTGCGTTCCGGTTGTGAAGGGTAAGGGTGCTGGTGAAATTACAGGCACATGGGACTTGTTAACTTATGGTGATCAAAAGGGTGACGGGCGCAGTGGCAGTGCCCCTCAGGTCTTTGTGATTAAAAGCTTCGAGCGGCACTACAACTGTTATGGACAGGCGTGTCGCTTACCACCAGGCGCACGACTTGTTCATTCCGTCACTAGGTATTTTATATAAAAAAAGATTTCCATTGAGGGTATCAAAACTGTAATTTGTAAGATGTCTGAGGCATTTTGACACTTTTTAAAATAACACGACTTTTTAGAGAGAAGGACAGTTCATATAGGATAGTGTATAAAGCTATATCTATCTTTATTCTAGTGTTTTGCTTTACTAAGAGAAATACCAGGAGATAAGGGACTTGAATCCTTAACCCATACTATAAAGAGAGTGAGTAGCATTATAATCTCTCAGTCGATAAAACAGATAAACAACTTAGTTTAAACGAATTTAAAGAGATGTCGCTACGATGCTTCAAATCCAATAAACGGAAAAAACAAATTCAACAGTTGTAATTTTTAAGTTTCGTTAAACTAGTTTGTTATAATTATTATAACAAATATCGAAACACAGATGGCGCTGCGACAAAAAGTCGTTAAAAACCAAAAACAAAGATCTGCAACAAACACATAGAAAGATTCGTAAGGTCTGCTGGTTCGTTCCGTGACTTGATTG